CAACATGGGTGACTACTCGAAAGCACTTGAATTTTACGAAAAAGCACATCAAATAAAAGAAAAAGCTCTGCCTCCGAATCATCCCGAATTGGCTATTTCCTACGGCAACATCGGTCAAGTGTATAACGGAATGGGTGATTACTCGAAAGCACTTGAATTTTACGAAAAAGCACATCAAATCTTCGAAAAAGCTCTGCCTTCGAATCATCCCCATTTGGCTACTTCCTACAACAACATCGGTCTCGTGTATAACAACATGGGTGACTACTCGAAAGCACTTGAATTTTACGAAAAAGCACTTAAAATAAGAGAAAAAGCTCTGCCTCCGAATCATCCTGATTTGGCTACTTCCTACAACGACATCGGTCTAGTGTATAACAACATGGGTGACTACTCGAAAGCACTAGAATTTTACGAAAAAGCACATCAAATCTACGAAAAAGCTCTGTCGTCGAATCATCCTCATTTGGCTATATCGTACTGGCACTTCGGCTCGATAAATGAGAAGATGCATAAATATTCGGAGGCACTTTCATTTTTAGAAAAAGCACTTTCTATCTTTAAAATATCACTTCCACCTAGCCATCCCCATATTCAATCGGTGAGAAACGCGATTGACAATGTAAGAAAGAAAATCTAATTGTTGTTTTATTTTCTTAATAAATTTATTCACATTGCTAATCGTTTCGATTTTTCTCGGTTCATTTTGGCATATTCGCGCGCGCGCGACAAGGAAGAGATCCTTTGTCAATCCCATAGGTACCACAGGCGGACCACGCCGGACTGGTAGGGCAATGGCCGAAGGTATACCGTATTAATGATAGGGACCAACGACACATAGAGGCCTTCCCTAGCAGTACACTGCTTCGCTATGGCACGAAAGTTCCTGTCCCTATTGAATCAGACAACGTAGTTCTCTGACCCACACTAATAACACTCATAACTCAACTTATCTCATCTCAAAAGTACTTATACTCATAATAACTGATAGTATTTATTTTTTCTCAAAATAACTTATCTCAACTCAACTCAACTGAATATGTAAAAAATTTTTTTTTTCTTACTTCTCAATATTGTATAATATCGAAACTCATCTAAAAAAAAGAAAAAAAAAAGTATTATTAAATATATAATGAATTTATTATTTACCTCATATAGAATTTAATAATATAATTATCATTGTAAATAATATCATAATAATAATAATAAACCCGGGTATAATATAAATACATTGTAATGCATTATAATAATACAACTCGAGTGTATACTGTTTCATAATGATGTGTTCATGTTTTTATATACCCTGAGATTAATTGACCGATGTTCAAAATTTTGATTGATTTTTTATCAATCATTCCACTTCTGTTTTAATTGATTTGATGATTTTTTTTCTCGTCTGACATACATCTATATCATGTCATCGTCGACGAAAAAAAATTTTCATGTTACATACATATAGGGAGTTGTCTTTCTCTTTCACATTGCTCGTCTTCAAATAAGAATACAAGACAAGAGAATTTATCAACTCGAGTAACTTAAAAAATAGGTGTGTTTTGTTTTTACAAAATGTGATCTTTATTTTAAGAATGTCTGAAATATATACATGTCTAAATTATATAGAATAAGATAGCGTTTGTCTCTCTACTGAACAATATATTTTTTATTGGACGTCTTCATTATCTTCAATATATATGTATTTGAGAAATTTCTGAGAAATTTTTGCGTAAACTTTTTTCACGTATAGTTTTTCGACTTTTCTTTAAAGAAATGTTAGTTGTGCAAAAATTGAAATGTCTACACATTTAAGATTGATGAATTTCTTTCATTTCAAGTGATTTTCATCGTTACTGCATTTTATTTTCATTGGAATATAGTGCTTCTCAGGATTTAACTAATTTTCGTCCAGAATGTATCAACTTGTACATAACAAACTATGAATGATGTGTATTCACTTATATTGTCATATCCATCGATATAGTAATGAATATATAAACAGCTATGAATTCATCTCAAAATAGTCTCCTGATGATAGAGTATATCATAGTTGTACTCTTTAAATTTTCAAGATTTATCGATGAAAACAAAATTCATCATTATAAACATTTTTAACAAACAACTGTAATGTAAAAGCAATATTATTTCTAGATTTTTATACGAAACTGTATATCAGACAAAGTATTAGTACAAAAAAGAGGCATTTTTCGTTTAGACATAATGAATGTTATTGCCTTTATATGTTCGACTTTCTTAATTGAATTATTAATGAGTATTTTGACATTGTTGAATGAAAGTGGTAACTGTTTTTAGTTACCTGACAAAGTACTCTCTATGATGTAATGTCATTTAATTAGAATGAAATGAAGTATTTTCTAAGAGAGACAATAATGATAGCAGTAGAGCATTTAATGAATGTCTTCATGCATTTCTCATTATATTTCTCTTGTATAAAAATTATTCGACAGATACAACAATTTCATTTTGTTTTCAGTGTAGATATTTAAGTTTCTATAAAAAATTCGATGTTGGTTTTTTATTAGAAAATGATTAAACTATAGTTGCTTGAGAAATTGTATATTTTGTTTCTATTCAGATCTCCCATCATACAGTTGTTGGTGTATTCTGTATTTCGATTATAGGTGTAGAGTGAGGCGTTACACTAAAAAAAAAAAGAAAACATGCTGAATAACTTATTGGAATATTTTCTCGTTAAGGATAAATTCATATTCTGACGAATATTCGTTTTCTATGATTTTCTAAAGATAATTGATATTTTTATCGAGTATTTGTGAGATATAGAGTTTTATTGTGAGTTCATTGAAAAATATCTCAGAATTTTCATAAATAAAATTATGTATAGATTAATTATTTGAGTCTATAAATGAAATCTCAGTAGTAATAATAAATAAATTAATGAATCACATATTTTTTTTTCTCATTTGACATATATACATGGTTTTTTGTTATGCTTGAAAGTATAAGTGAATCTATGAGACATAGAACAGATGTAAAGAAAATTGCAAATCTCTTTCAAGTAAATGATATCGTCCTTATAATTTTTATGAGAAATTTCTACTAATAAAAAGACTTTTAATAAAAGATTTTTTGTAAAGTTAAACGACGAATCTTTTGGTAAAATCCACAAATAGACGAATTCTTTATCAGTATTTCAGTGAATGTTGTTTTCATATTAATCTCTTTATATATCTTGTTGAGTCTGACACTACACTATTGTTCTTCAACATGAATATAGACAATTTATTAGTAACAAAAATATCAGTTTGAATAAAAGATTCTAGTTGTTTTCCTTTTTACTTATGAAATAGGAACAATGTTTGACCTTTTTACTGTTAGAAAAGAATAATTGAGAAAGTTCATTTACAGGAAAAAATACATTTCGATTAGAGATTTTAAACTTGTAATTTTTGTATAATTATGACCTGATAAATACTGTTGAAAGTTGTGCGTGTAAATTTTTTTTTGAGAATGAATTGAATGAATTATTTATTGCTTTTGCTCGAAAGCAATCTTTTTACTTTTCTTCTTTATCTATATTTTGTTTTATTTAATATTTAATTGTAATACAGAAGATAACAGAGGGGTGTGAATCTGATGAGCTCTTCTTGTTAGCTCATACCTAAATGCTTTAAGAATTTAGTAGATGCGTTCATTGAATATTAAAAGATTTATCTCATTGAATTAGTTTTCTTTATTAGAATTTTTTTTCTTTTACTTTTCTACTAATATTTTTGTTTATTAATGAGAATTTTGATAAAAATTAATAGACGAATCAAATGGATACATTAAATTTGCATCAATTAATACTATACAGTTTTTACCATTTATATAAGCCGAATCAATAGTAAAAAAAATACAGTTGATGATTACGAAGATGATATAAAAATTCAATTATGTATTACAGAAAGTTTTTTCGGAAGAGTAATTTTAATTTAGACATATATATGTACTGATCTGTCATAAACTTCTCTTTTTGTATAGCTTATATTGTACATATTTTTCTCTGACGAAAATCACACAGCACATTTAATAATAAAATTCAATACTGTTATTTTTGTTTTTTTTTCCTACTGTATAACAATCATATTTTGATTTACGTAATCTAATATATGAACACAAATGATGTTGTTGAACATTAAAATCAAGTTCAACATGCTTTTGAAATAAGTGTTTACGGAGATTATTGATATTGAAGTGAGGAACGTATTTATACGTTCAATCTCACTCACTCATTATTCCTAAAAACACTCAACATTTTCATGGATCACATATTAATGTCATAAGTGCTAGAATAACGCATCAAAAGTATGAGATTCCTTCGAAACACTTCGAAAAAGACAAATTTCCAAATGATAAATCAATTATAAAAATAGCTAAGAATTCATTCGAAAGGTTTTTGTTCCATAAAAGTCAAAAATAAATATATTGATAACTATTCTGATATGACATTGAAAATAAATCATCATTTTACATCATTGAAAAAACTATTTTCTGTTTCATCGAAATAGTTTCGTTATTGATCTGAATTAGATTTACTTC